GTTTTAGAGGGACTTTGAGTGGCAATGTAAAAGTAATTTTTGTTAAATTTGGGTGTTAAAATGTGTGTTCTTAAATGTTATTTCTTTGTGCTCTGTACAATGACAATAAAGGCATCATCAATCAAACAATTTGAATGATCTTTTTTAAAAAAAATCTTTATGAAGCAAAATATGGACCTTATAGGGAGAGATGATCCACTTACCAGATCTTGCCTTTCAGTCATGCTCATCTTCTCTACTATGGACCAAAACCACCGTTTAAACTGGAGTAGTTTGTCTGCGTTTTCCCCTGCAGGATGAAAAAGTCTCTTTTTAGTACATAGAAAACAGTCATTCTTTCATCMCTGACTGAGTGGGAGCAGGACCACCACAGACCTGATTCATCATTGAAAGAAGTGAAGCTGATCAGCATCTGGACGTTGACTTCTCCACAGCCGTTCACCAGCAGCCTGAAGTCCTCCGCTGTTAGATCCTCCAGGGCGTTTTTAGGAAGTACGTCCAGCAAACCCTTCCTCATCGCCTTTAAGCAGACAGAATCAGAATGAATACACATGTTGACTGAAAAAAAAAAAACAGAATACTGATCGCAGCCACCATTTTCCCTACCATTACCCACCCCTCCACCGAGACCACCTGAACCMCCATGAACTCATGACTTGTAAGATATTTATAATAATCTGTGCGTTTCCAATTCACTGATGCCGTTGGAGATGTCAAAACTGATACATCACCAATCCAGGTCTTCAAGGCACACTGTCCTGCATGAGGTCTTTGACACACCTGATTCAGGTGATTGCAGTTCATTTAAAGCCTGCTAATTAGTTACCAACTGAAATTAGCTGTGGTGAAGCAGGGAAACGTCTAAAACACGCAGGGCAATGTGCCTTGAGGACCAGGGTTGAAAAACACTGTCCTAGGGCACATGTGTCAAACTCACAGCCAGCAGACTTCCATCAGGCCTGCAAGGGAAATTTAATTAAATTGTTCTTTATTAATGTCTCAAAATAAGTTGCTTTAAAGCAGCATTGACCACAAACTACATCTCCTGTGATGCATGTTGATTATTTTACCCACAGAATGGCAGCCTCCCACCATTAGGTGAAGCTGTACAGGGTTCAAAGGTAGCCAGCAGCCAGTGTAATTCTGTGTAAAATCTCCATTTCGCTGCATTTTCACCAGCTACTTTTGCTATGGCTCAGTTGTACCGGGAAGTGGGAATTTCCCACCACTCCAGTGGGAATTCCCTGTCGGAAAGTAGGAGAGTTCAGAATTCAAAATGGCAGCTACTCACCACAACTCAGTGAGTAAAACTCTTACTTATAATTGTAGTTCTGTATTATTTATTTCACATTTAGTCAGTTGTATATGTAGCAATTTTCATTTTATATAAAATAGGACATAGAAGGAAATTTTGTAACTAATTAATTGAATATTAGATGCAGTTTTGTATTTTATACTTTCTGATTATTCTAATAAAGGTTAAAGCAGACAAAGAGTTGGTGTGTGTCTTATCATGTGTTCCTTCTTTAGTCTAAACAAAAATGATTTACGTTCTACTTCTGACGTAAAAGGTAACACCTCCAGGGAGTGTAACCAGGAAGAGAAATACATTATAAAAGGTCAATTCATTATTATATTAGAAAGAAGTTGTTAGTGTTTTACAGAGTCTCTGCTTAGAGCAGGGCTGCTGTGATTTGTTTTGGTTTTAGCTCAAGGCCTCTGCTGAGTGCTGTACTGGGAACCTGATTGGAGTCAGAATAACAAAGTTTTGAGAAAAAATCCATGGATTCCTGCATTTATTCAGACATACCATTTTTAACATCACATTTTATTTCTACAATGTGTTAAAACACTGTTTCTATGCATGAAATGCCACATAGAGCTCAGTGTTCATTTGTGATGCTCAGTTGTAGCAATGAGATGAAGAACGTGACGTTTCATGTTTATTTGAAGTTAAACACAAAAGATCAATGTTAATCACAACTGGCTCTTTGAGGGCCACCATGATGCTCATGTGGCCTACAGCGAAAATGAGTTTGACAGCCCTGTCCTAGGGT